GAGGAGGCGGGGGGGGGGGGTGTACCCCCTTTCTTTGGCACCAGGCTATTCTTTTTGGGAGCTTTTATTTATTTGTATTTGAGAACAAACCAACTCACCCCAAAGTGTTAATGGGGTAAAACAAAGCCCGGCGGGGAAGCCGCGCGGCCCGGCCGGGACCGGGGAGTCGCCCTTGCGCGGGGGCTGCGCGGTGCGGGAGGCGGCGGGAGCTGCAGGCTGAGACACCACGTGCTGCTGCCTCTCATCAGCATAATGATCGGCCCAGCCAGAGAGCCTTGTCTATATAAACCACAAAAACCTAATCATTAGGAATCCCAGCCTCCAAAAAACCACATTTAGGACCAGTGTGGGGGGGAGGAAAAAAAAATCGCGGTGGTTTTCCCCCCCCCCCCCCGGCTCCTTTATCCTTCCCAACCTGAACTTTTTGGGGACCCAAAAGATTTTTTTTTCCAGCTGATTTTCAAGGGGGGGAATCATCTGAATGCTTTCTAATATATATATATATTATATACAATTTAATTTTTTTCATTGCTGCTGTTCATCCCCCCCCAATGCCCCGCGTTAGCCTGCTCAGCTCAGCGGACTCGGACCTGGCAGCGGCTTAATTAAAGCCCCCAAAGCCGGGACTCGCGCATTGCCTCGCTCCGCGCCTGCTTTTTGACTCTTGGGAGCCAGAAGTTTGTGACTCGGCTTCTCTCCTCCCCGGGGACCCAGCTTGCAAGCTCTTTTAATTAGGACTCATTTGATTGCCCTGCTCTCTACACCCCCCCCCCCAAAAAAAAAAAACACCCCTAAGAAGTTTTCTTCGGGGGGGAACGCACCAGCTCTTTGCAGAGACGCCTCGCAGCCCCCTGCCCCTGCGAAGCCCCAAGCAACACTAGGAGAAGCGGAGAAGCTCCCTGGCATCTCGACTTGATCCGATCCCGAGTTTTTTTTTTTCCTCCTGGAGGGGGAAGGCTTCCCTGGAGGAGAAAGCAGCCCCGCTCAGACTTGAAAACTCCCCTCCTCTGCTCACTGCTGCTTCTCCAGCAGCCGCCGCTGCAATCTCGCTGCCTGGGGACCCTGCACGAGTCGTCTTCTTCTTCTTCTTCTTCTTCCTTTTTTTTTTGGGAGCATCCAGCGAGGAGAAGAGGGAAGCAGAAGAGAGGCGGACAGACAGCCCCAGCCCGGGGGGAAGAAGCGGTGGCTGGAAGGAGAGGGAGGGGGCAAAATAAAACAAGCGCAAAGAAGGAAGGAAGGAAGGAAGGAGGAGGAGGAGGAGGAGGAGAAGCGCCTCGCAGCCTGCAGCAGCCGGGACCATGCCTTCCCCCGCCGGGCTGTGCTGAGCGGGGCGCCCGCTCCCTCCTCTGCTCCGCTCCGCTCCGCTCCCTCCTGCCTGGCACCCGGGCTGCTCCAAGCACACCCCCTGCTTTTCATTTTGTTTTTTAAATTTTTTCTTCTTCTTCTTTATTTTTATTTTTTATTAGTATTATTATTATTATCA